CATCAACTCCTGTCTGTCAGTTATTAAAACCTGGATACAACATAACTTCCTCAAACTCAACAGCAATAAAACAGAATTCCTCCTCATACTGCAGTATACAAATTCAATGTATTATTAAAATATACAAATATCAAACTATACGTGAAACAAATGATTGAGACTAACAGAGGAAACATGAGGGAAACATTTGCATTAATATACATTTCACAAACACATTTTGGGTAAAATAGTATATATAGTATATATATATATATATATATATATATATGGATGAATTCTTAAAAATACATTGTAAAAATGGCCAAAAAATAAATTCTATCTTTTATATATTTATATATATATGGTTATTTTCTATACATTTTTTTTATATATTGCTCCAAAATATATTAAAATGTGTTTTGTATTATATTTTGGCATTTAAAGTTGTACATTTGAAAAATATATTTCCTTAAATTGCTCTGTTTACATCTATCTAGCATGTATTTAAAATTAATTTTAGCCCAGAATAAACAAATTATTGTTTTGCCTTACGACCTTGTCTTCCATCTTGGATGTTTTTTACTCGGAGCTTTCGTAGTGCATTCTGGGATTGCCTACATGTCAACATGAAAAATACATGTTATCTACCTTTTGGAAAGCACATTCGTGCCAAGAATGTATTCAAATGCAGACTATATGTATGTTCAACAACAAAAGCAGTTACTCGTTCATTAAACACAAATTTTGTCTGCAAACTACACATCCAGGCATCTTTCTTTACCCCACAGAAGGAGGTAGGTAATGATTACATGTGAACATCCCATTTCCAGTCAGGAGAAACAGAAAGGCTATTCTCTCTCATCAGCCTTGCGCTCAAGGTCAGTTTCGTGTACTCTTCATACTGACGTCAGTGTAGACTCTAGCATAGCAAACTGTATGTTAATGTGTGTGTGCTTGACCTATTTAGCCGCCAGGATAGCAGGAGGATCAGAAAGGTGACTTACTCCTGTATGAGTCAACATCATAAAACTCGGCCAGGAGGCTGGAGAGCTCCATTAAATATAAGTACATTTAAACTGACGTAGTGAGAAAAAAAAACATCTGGCAAAACACCAATCAAATGAGCAGGGCTTTAAATCACTAAATATCAAGCCACTCCACATCTGCAAGTTATGGAAGTTAATTTCCACTTTAGAGTATGTAAAAGAAAAACTATATTAAAGTTAAAATGAGAAATAGCCAAATTGTTACAGTCACTACTGTGAGATATAGTCAAAAACTACGAAACATAAAGTCTTAATTTCGAGGAAAAAAATGTGCAGTTGTGAAATATGAAGTCAGATATGTCACATTGTCATGCATGAAGAAATGGTCACATTTTTGAGATTACATAATTGTTAGATATAAACACACAATTCTGAAAATGTAGTTGGTTTTGGTAACACTTTATTTTACATTGTCCTTGTTGTTACATATGTTACATGTACTTACCATAGTAATATTATGCATAATTACATGCAACTAACCCTCAACCGAATCCTAATCCTACCCTAACCCTATAGTAAGTACAAGTAGTTCCTTAATATTACTCAGTACTTAAATATATAATTACACTGTAACAATGACACCTTAAAAATAACCTTGTTTTTTAATTAATTATTTATTATTATTTTTAGGTGGAAACATGCTTCCATAGCAGGCAAACATCACCACATGAATTCTGTGGAGTGAACAGGTTGTGCCATTGTTCTGTGCTGTAGTATTTTGATTCAAATCCCAGACGGGCCTCTCATTTCCTTTAGTTTAGACCCCTACTGAGTGCGTTGCTCTTTATGGGGTCTTTGAATTCATTGTTTTGCACTGAGGGTACTGTGTGACACGGCAGATTCATCATGCTCGACGGTTTATTTCTGTGTCCCTGATTCTATTATGCCAGTGAATCCATCCACTGTAGAGATTTCCTGTCCCCTTGAGTCCATATGGTATAGGGTTTGTGTCAATCCAAGCATCACTATTGCTCCATTGGAATCTAGCCCATCTTGGAGGAAACTAAATCAAGGAGGGCGATATCTGGCCAGTAAACTCTAAGCCCGCCACACCCCCCAGAATTTGTGTTTATGGATGTGATGTGCTGTAACTTTTCTTATGACTCACTGAACTATATTGTGTTGGCTTTCCCCTGGTTGCTCTCAGATAACGCTTAAGACAATACGGCTACCGCAGAGGCAGAACACATGGGGTTATGAGTATAGGACTGTTTGCACAAGGAAGGAAGTGTTCACTTAGTGCTTTTTAGACTCCAGCACTTGAGGAAGAGGAGGAGGAGGGTGGGACTTCCTTGCCTTGTGCATGGAGGCACTGAAACTAGCACCAAGCACACATTTCTGACAACAAAACAGGAAAGGCACAGACCAGTTGGTTTGTTTGTCACAGGTGCTCAGTTGCTGAAGATAAGCCTGAGCCAAAGTGGAGCCTGTCCTCCATCCTTCAATGCAACAACCCTGTTCCTCAAAATATAAAAGTAAGTGGTCTTGTATTAAAAACAGCATATACACAAATCAAATCATTGTCAAAATTGTTGTCAAAACTATTAATCGAAATTAATTACATCCAACAAAGGTTTGTATATATATATATATATATATATATATATGCGTGTGTGTATGCATGTATGTATGCATATGTATATGCATATACAAACACACAAACACATTTTATATTTACATATATATATATATGTGTTTGTGTGTTTGTATATGCATATACATATGCATACATACATGCATACACACACGCATATATATATATATATATAAATAATTTAATGAATATAGATAACTATAAACATGGATTATAATAAACCTAGATAAATTAGAATAAAATAAGAATATTCTAATATTAATATTATTTTATTCCAACTCAAAATTTTGACAGAATGTATGTCTGAAAAATGGCTCTGTGCCTCAAGCCTACTCCATATAAATCACAAACGAGGGGTAGTGGAAAATATCCAAGAGGAATAGCTCTGCTCCCAAGAGTCCCTAATCAGCGAACAGAGTGGTTTCCTGCTTTTGTGAGATGTGGTTCATTAATGGCTGACAACCTTTCTTTTACACATGCACACTGACACGCAAAAGACCCCCACTACTCTCACACACAAGCACATTGGATCCAGACATAAATGTTCACATATAAGCTAACACAATCCTTTGAGCATTTATCAACTTTATCATACATATGCTTGTGAGAGGCCATACCTTACGCACCCTCTAACTTAAACAGCTTTGTCTAAGAAGTTCTTAGGATGTAAATATTTGCAGAGCACCTTATCTTCACGAGCAGACCCTTAACACTGATACACATGTCTGCATGTGTTTTCCTAATTCCATTTCTTACCAGAACAGAGAGGTTCATACATTGGCCTGCTAGAGGAGAGTCTTTAAGTTGCTTTTATATGATTATACTGAACTCATAAACCAATAGTCATTTCCAGTGAGGAGACACTGGACATTGTTGCATTTCTAACCTGGGAGGGTCTATAAACTACCTCCCACAGATTGCTGTGCAAGGCCACTGCACCACCCTCATACTTCACTTTCTGTCATTCACACAAAGCAGGCCTCTATTGAACATTCTGCCAGGAGAGACCAAACTCCAGGACATTGTAATAGCCATTTTTCCTGAAAGAAAAGCAGGAGGGCGGGAAAACAGACTAGAATAGAAAGTAGACAATCATTTACAGGACACTGCATGAATATGCCCTGTCTTGAGCAATAAACAACTCGCATATTCCACAGTTAACTGAATAAAAACTCCTCAAAACATTATCTTGTTCAAAAATGCCTTTATTAGAAGTTCTATATATAAAAAAAAAAACAGTACAGTACAAATTTACTCTGCACACTTTCTATACAAACTCCAACTCCAGCTGACGTTCACTTATTACATTCAGTGTGGCTTTACTTCATCAAAAAAGTTAAAGTAATCGTTATTAACCAACTACAAACCTTAATATCCCCAGTCAGCATGTGTAGAAAAGCACAGTTGAAAGGCAGAGTTTCTTTCATTAGGAATGGTGTGATCGAATGATCTAAATGTAGAAAAATAAGCAATGAAATAGCATCTCATTCACCATAAAAAGGCATCTTGATCTATGAGCTACATTCAATTCGATTGGCTTTCGATATACACCAAAGCGACTGCTTTATTAGGTTAAGCTACAGTATGTGGGATCCTCAACCCCAGCAGGGACATATTAGCTAGTTGTTAACCTCTAGATAGGAAAGTGCTACATTCTCTGGCACTAGACAGCAATCGTCATGCAACTGTGTGCAAATGGATACTTTTTTTTTTTTTTGGTTGTCGTTATAGTTACCATTGATAAAAAAATAAAATAAAAAAAAGGAAACAGTCATACTTGTAGGTGTGAAGACAGTTAGTTCTTTACGGCCAAAAAGACATCATAAGGCTACATTCTACAAATGCCCATAGATCCTCTGATGCTCCCCTCCCTCCCAAGAAATCACAGCGTGACCTCATCAGACGCTCCCACTTTTTAATATAGATACACACAGTAAACAAAATCGAAAATAAATAGCATACATTCTTAAATTATTTACCTATTTACAGTAAAATAGACAAGTTAACAAAAATATATTATTGTGAGACAAACCCAACCGTTTCCAGATTAATATTGGCGATCACAATTTAAACGGGAATATAAGTGTATTGCTTTAGATTTGATAAATACCATACGGACTCAATTTATCCTTGAAGGCTATACTTTCAAATGACAATAAATAAGTTAAATAGATTTCAAAGCATGATGCAAAATGCAATGATACCACACAGTTTTAAAAAAAAGAAAGAATCTGCAGTGACATTCCATGGCCAATTTATGAGTCCCAGTTCTTGTGCGCTCACACCACTTTCAAACGTATGGAATGTTTTCCCAAGACTTGCTTCTAAATAGGGCCTTTTTTCCTGTTTTAGACTGTTGAAGCCATCATCTTGGTATGTCATTGTAAGGAAAAACAAACGAGAAAAGAAATACATAAATCGCATCTCAATCATGACAAAATCATGAGAAAACCAACAGCTGAGACTGATATTTGACCTGAAACTCATGTTGGCACTACTTTTCATAAAAGGCTATAACAATAATAGCAAGTCAATCGTCTGAAATCGACAGCCTGCTGAAGATTGGCAAACGTCTATTGGCGTCCATACTGGGCGACTCCGACCCACTGATTGTGCCGGAGGAAGAGCAAGAGCCGCTCAGGTACCCCTCAGGATCTGAGAGGGAATCCGGCGGGCTCGGTGGAGAATCGAACACTGGAGACTCGGAGAGTGGACGCATGGAGGGCAAGTGGCTCATTTTGAAAGGTGGCGACGGGGGGCAAGTGTTGGTCTGAATGTTACCGTACAAGCCACCGCTGGTCTGATGGGTAAAAGCGCGTTGGGTCTGAGGGATGATGGGGGCAAGAAAAGCCTTAAGATCCTGATCTGGGAAAGTGAACGCGTTCAGACAGGGTGAACTGGGAGTGAGTGCACAGGTGGGCGGTGGGGGTGTGCGGGATGTTGGGTTGTCAATCAACACAGACTCGTTGATGCAGGAGCTGGAGAAGCCGGAAAAGCTCAGGCTGTGATGCAGCTTCGGTCTTTCCCGCTGTCTCAGGAATGGGTTTGATGACTCCTTCTCTCCCAGGACACCACTGAGCCTCGCTTGAGTGTTACTCGAAGCAGCTCTGCGCTCATCTGCATTGTGAATGAAGTGGCAGCGGGGGCCGTACGGGCAGAAACCGATAGTGTGGAATGTGCGACACGGCTCAGTCTTGTACTTCGGGTGGCGGGACAGGTTTCTCAATTCGTGATAGCCGTGAGCAAACTGACACTTTTCTCCATACTTGCATGAGCCATTTTCCTCAAAAGGTCTGCAAAGTTCAGTTTTGTAGCGGGTTGAGTTGATCTGAGAGCCGGGCTTTTGCTGAAGGATTTCCTGAAGTTGTTGACTGCGTTCACTTGAGTCACTGAACGCACGGTCTCTGTACTTGTTTTCTTTATTCATGAAGGCAGGGGTTGAGCTCTCAAAACCGATCTGAAGCCTGTTGCTCATGTTGAAGTCCATGTGGTTTGTTGAGTTACTCCTGAAATAACCAAAAGACCTGTTGCTGTTGGTATTGGTATTGGTATTGGAAGCAGCAAATGGGACCCCGACATTCCTCTTTTCCAGCATATTTTGCAGAAAGATTGCATTTGAATTTGGGACTTTTTCCTGAAAAAAAAAAAAAACAGAATTCCTAAGCACAGATGTCAAATAGTTTTAGTGGGTACATGTTTAAACAAATTAGAAAAGAACTGCAGGAGTGAAATCACGATTGTACATGACCATAACCCTCCTGAGGTGACAGAAGTTATAAGACGCAAGTTTAAATAAATATTAAAGATTGACAAGACCAAAAACACATGAGAGTAGTAAAATGTGTATGTTAAATGACAAAACTGAACTGAATCAGCTTGTCTTGCCATTAAATTTACAATTTGTGTCTAAGAAATAGATTTCAAAAACTATATGTAAATATCATAGAAAAGTTTGAGACTCATAGCGGGGCAAAAAGGGAATTAAAAAACAAAACTCGTTAAACGCGTTCTCCCTTTAGAGCGCGTTATGTGCCACAAAAGCCAAGTGAGTGGTAACATTTAGTAAACATGGAGCGCTCACGTTACAAGTTTGCCAGCGCGGATAAATTGAATAAACAAACCAAGATAAACAAAATATCAAAATAAGTTGAAAAAACAAACAGAAGTTAACTTAAAACAACTTCTAGTACTCGTTTTACAATATAAACTCTTACCCTGTCGAAATCATATATGGAAGACAGCACCGAAGCAGACATTTTCTGTAGTGAGTTCCAGCTCAGAGGGGGGGAAAACTTTTCGGACCGAGAAGGATCCTTGTGCTCTCAAAGAAATCCACGGCTGAACGGGGTTTGCGTCTTCAAACGGAGTTGGTAAAGGTCGCTGGTGTTCTTTGGAGTTGCGCCGTACTGGTTTTGGGGAGTGTCGTTCATGGGCAAAGTTTGCACATGTGTATAAATGCGTTGCAGCTGTTAAAGGGCGGAGCTTGAAAAAGTTTCAACAGTGAGCTGCTCGAAGCCCCGCCCTTCCTGTCACGTGGTTTCGGTAACTCCCATAGGGTAACTCCCCCTCTAAGTGCCCCAGTAAGCACTGCGTGCCTCAAGACAATTCAACACAGCAGAAATTGAACTCATGTGCTTGAAATCTTATTCTCCTCGCAAGAGGTCTGACACTAGATTATTATTTTTTAAGGCTGAATTTCTCAATCTAAGCTACTTTCAAAATTGCACATAATTGAGTAGCCTATGTGCCATTAAATGTATAGCCCTATGTAATGTTGTTTTACATATTGTTGACATAGCCTAATATAGTAGCCTAGTTCTTAATCCTGGTTATGGAGGACCCCAGGCAAGGAACTGAACATTTTGGATGTCTCCCTTATTTGACACATTTCAGGTCTTTCGACCTCTACAGTGCCCCCTATATGTTGAAATGTGATGTTACGTTACAAAGTTTGGCAATGCTTGGCAATATGCCTGGATTTTTTGGAACAGATTATTAACTCTTTTTATGTGCAATATAACAGACAAGAATTAAGATGCTGATATGTCATTTACCAGCGCTATTGGGGTACAACAGCCGCAGTGCAGTTTTAGATCAGGAATAATCCATTGTGTCAGATACAAAATCTATCTCTACCATTCAAAAGATCAAGGTAGGTAAGATTTAAAAAACAACATTGAAAGAAGGCTGATTTTATTTAATCAAAACTACAGTAAAAACATACAATTATTTTGTGAAATATTATTATGAAATATTATTACAATTTTAAAATAATAATAATATCAATAATAATAACCTAATTTTAAAATCTCTCTATCTCTCTCTCCAAAACTATTTTTAATATTTTTTGAAAAAAGTATCTTATGCTCATCAAGCCTGCAAACATACAGAACAAAACAGTAATATTGTAAAATATTACTACAATTTAAAATAATGTTTTTCTATTTTAATATCCTTTAAAATATAACTTATTTCTGTGATCATTAGTCCAGTCTTCAGTGACACATGATCCTTCAGAAATCATTATACTATTTTTAAACTGATATTTGTTTCAGGATTCTTTGATGAATAAAAAGTTAAAAAGAAAAGCATTTATTCAAAATATAAATGTTTCTAACAATATAAATGTTTACTACTACTTTTATCAATTTAACATCCTTGCTGAATAAAAGTATTAATTTCTTTAAAAAAAAAAAATAAAGAAAGAAATTACTGACCAAACTTTTGAACATATATTGTTACAAAATATTTATATTGTAAATAAATGCTGTTCTTTAAAAAAAAACCTTTTTAATCATCAAAGAATCCTGAAAAAAGTTATAAAAAAATAAGCAGCACAACTTTTCACCATTGGTGATAAATCAGCATGAATGATTTCTAAAGGATCATGCTGAAAACTGGAGTAATGATGCTGAAAATTCAGCTTTGTATCACAGAAATAAATTATATTTTAAAGTATATTAAAATAGAAAACCATTATTTTAAATTGTAATAATATTTCAGTTTTTTCTGTCATTTTAACCAAATAAATGCAGACTTGATTAGCAGAAGAGACTTCTTTCAAAGACATAAAAAATAAGCTACATTTTCAGCATCAATATTTCAGTCTTCAGTGTCACATGATCCTTCAGAAATCATTCTAAAATGCTGACTGATCAACACAAGTTTGACTAGTAAACACATTCTATTATATTCATAACTGTTTAAAATGTTGTCTGCCCAAATGGTTAAATTTAGCATTATTTAATTAAGTGGAAAATGATTTGTTTCCACACTGAACTCATTGACTCAAAGGAGAGCGGCCTAGTACATGCTCTGTTTGTGGATAGTTCAGTGGCTATTTAAGTTCAGTCCATGTGAAATTTCCCACATTTTTTAAAGAGGCAGTTTCTCTTAGCACTCCTCACCACAGTGGCTTTCCGTATGATTAGACCCATCTATTGTGTAATACATGCGTTACACCGTCTCATTTTGCGTGATTCAACTTGTGTATATAAACTAAATCCGAACTGCTCATGGATAGGAAAGTGGCAGAACTCTAATCAGTAGATGCAGCTCTTGGCTACAAACCCTCAATTTAAAGCTTTAAATTACACGCAAAGTGCAAGCCTCAGATCTGCCGTGGTCCACGGACAACTGAATCAACCCATCAAAAAATAAAAAGAGGAAGAAAACTCTCAAACAAAACTCTGTCCACAGAAACCACTCATCCATTACTCTGACTCCGATCATTCCAAAACATTACATCATTGCACAGAGAGGGAACATCGCTACTATGGCCAGAGCGGCTGCCAAGGCGTCTGCACAGGACTGTACACTGACTTCTTTGTGATGTCCACAATGAGTATCCAAGGCGACCCCTAGAGAGGACGGCCCATAAGGGAACGTTTCTTGTCTTCCATGATACAAATGGTAATGCTGAACATTCTTTCTCTGACTGTACTGTTGCTGTGTCGAGTCACACTGACTGGACTACTGTCGTTTGAAGATGCTGCTGATGTCTGTCGCAGGTTCACGTAGCCCCTCATACCGTATTATATTTGCTGAATATTGTCCATTGATACAGATTGGGGCCCTTGTTTTTCGACCCAGGAACTTCCCTACAGGCCGTATAGCATCCAGAAGCCATGTTTGAGGTCTGCTCGGCTTGTTTATGTACGGTTACACCCAGAGCTGAATTTAACCCCGGCTTCCATCTGTTGCAGCACCCAGGGCCCTGCACGGAGATGAGACCGGTTTGGGTCGGTCTGTGCCGCTCGCTTACAACTTGCTCCTATGTGTTATTATCGTCAGAGGCGTCTCCTCTGTGGCAATATTCTGTTTTAGCCAGGTTTTTTTTTTTCATATGCTTACATTGACCTTAAGGTTCATTTAAGGTACTTTTTAGCTGGATTTCATGTCAATTGTATGGTAAATATGAAATTATTTAAAAGAAGAAGAAGAAGAAGAAGAAGAAGAAGAAGAAGTCTTTCCGTAGCTCAATAGTCACATTATCCAAAATACATGTTAAATAGATAAAGTATGTTTTTAGCTGAGTCTTGAATGTAGCCACAGATGAGATTACGAAGTGTAAGGGGTAGTGAATCCATAATTGGACAATAAAGTTTTTTGGGCAGACCAAGAAATAGAGCATTGCAATAATCCAGACGTGATGTGATTAATGTATGAATTTCAGCATCAGCTAAAGTGAGAGAAGATCAAAGACGTGCAATATTACGAAGATGGAAAAAAGAGTTTTTAACAAGAGAAGAAATATGAGAGCCAAAAGATAGAGTTGAGTTGATTAAGACACCAAGGTTACGAATAGATGAAGAAGGCTTAAAGGAACACTCCGACTTATTGAAACTTTAGCCTATTCACCTTATCCCCCAGTCGAGTTAGATAAGTCCATACATACCTTTTTCATCTCCGTGCGTGCTGTAACTCTATCTGACGCACCCACCGCTAGCCTAGCTTAGCACAAAGACTGGATGTAAATGGTTGCAGCTAGCATACTAATCCAAATAAGTGACAAAATAGCGCAAACATTTTCCTATTTACATGTTGTGATTCGTATAGTCACAGAGTGTACAAAAAACGAAGTCACATGAGACACAGACATATTTTAACCGTATAAATACTGGGAACTATATTCTCTGAAGGCGAAGCACTGCTACTTGGGCGGAGTGATAACCGCAGCACCTGAGACGCGCTCTCTGCTCCTCACCACGGCGCGTCTCAGGTGCTGCGGTTATCACTCCGCCCAAGTAGCAGTGTTTCGCCTTCAGAAAATATATAGTCGCCTTCAGAGAATATAGTTCCCAGTATTTATACGGTTAAAATATGTCTGTGTCTCATGTGACTTTGTTTTTTGTACACTCTGTGACTATACAAATCACAACATGTAAATAGAAACATGTTTGCGTTATTTTGTCACTTATTTGGATTAGTATGCTAGCTGCAACCATTTACATCCAGTCTTTGTGCTAAGCTAGGCTAGCGGTGGGTGCGTCAAACAGACTTATAGCACTCACGGAGATGAAAAAGGTATGTATGGACTTTTCTAACTCTGGGGGATAAGGTGAATAGGCTAAAGTCCCAAAAAGTCGGAGTGTTCCTTTAACATGAACTCCATCAATATCAAAGAACAGGTCCATCCGTTTGACTGAGGCAGCAGAGCCAATCACCACCGTTTTTTAAATTATTTAATTTGAGGGAATTCAGGGACATCCAATGCTTGATGTCCCTGATACATGCAGTGAGTGAGTCAGGCAGGGATGGCCTATCGGAGCTGGTGGTAAGATAAATTTGAATGTCATCAGCATAGCAATGGAATTGAAGTCCATGCCTGCGTATGATGTCACCAAGTGTATATATATAGATGATAAACAATAGTGGGCCAAGAACTGAACCTTGAGGAACACCCTGTGTAAGCGAAGCAGTGGCAGATCTATACCCTTGTATGTTCATATAGTACTTTCTGTCGTTGATGTAAGAAATGAGCCAGGAAAGAACCAATAATGCCAATATCAGAAAACCGAGAGATCAGTATTTCATGGCAGACTGTGTCAAATGCAGCGCTTAGATCGAAAAAAGCATCAAGATATTTATTAACCCTGAAACCTAAATACTAAAAAAGGAAATATTTAACAAAGAATATTAAAAAGGAGGAAAACACATATAAAAATAGATTTAGTCATTTTGTCTGTCATTTTCACTCATGAAATATTTTTCTACATTTTATTGAATTGTGTTTTTAGCTGTGTTTTATGTCAATTTTATGGTTATGAAATTATTTAAATAAGAAAACTAAATCTAAAATAAGTCTAAATAAGAACAAATTAACAAAGAATCTTAAAAAGGAGGAAAACACATTGTAAAAAATACTAATTTTCATTCATTTTTCACTTATATAATAATTTTCTATTAGCATATAATTTTAGATGAAAAATGAAATTAATTAAATATTAAAATAAGGAAATATTTAACAAAGAATATAAAAAAGGAGGAAAACATCATTTTCACTCACAACTTTCTATTAGCATTTTATCAGATTTATCAAATAGACGAATTCCATGTCAATTTTGGTGAATATAAAAAAAAATTAACAAAGAATATTAAAAGGAGCAAAAAACATTAAAATATATATATTTTGTCATTTTGAACTCATAAGACAATTTTCTATTACAATTTTATTGATTTTTGTCAAATTTATACTTATCTACTAACCGCCCTTGTTTTCAGATTACATTTTGGGAGTCTCTCCTAAACTGGTGCTGTTCCTCCCTCCTGGTCATGCCACAGAGCTAGTATTCTGGGTTTCAGTGTGCCCTATTGGCCTCGCCACAGCCAGGCGGCCTTTCATTACACTAGCCAAAGGAGGTGCCTTGGACATCCCCATCGAAGACACCATCACCACACCCCAGAGTGTGCCCAGCTCCTCGCTTCTCTGTATACGTCAACAACGGAGATGAACAAAATAGCACTCTGTACTGTATGTCAAGGTAGCTGAATCACGTCTAAATCTAAAGCTTGAGAGCTGTCCTAGTTGTAGCATGATTTGATGATATTAACTTGTGTCCTTCTTATTTGACATTAAATCATTTTTATTGTGACAGTTTGTGAGGTTTAATGAGAAAATTAACAATATGCAATTACTTTTATTGTCATTCACAAAATCTGTTCAACCTGACATGTATGGGCCTGTGATGGGACATTCGTCCAGGACCCGGGTGTTTGTATGTGTTATGATGCTGCTGGGCTCCAGCATCCCACAACCCTAAAAAGAGGACAAGCAGTTTGGAAACTGGATGAGTGAATGTCATGGCTGGAACTACAACGCCCTCTGCTGATGAAATAAAGCTTGCAAGGCAGTTCCTTCCTTTCACATTCCATAAGTGGCCTACTTTGTTAAAAAATGTCATACATTCATACTGTAATGAGTGAGACTATATCAGCTATTTCAGCTTTGTGGTGTTATAATAATATAATAGGAAGAATTAAAGTTGCATAATTAAAGAGATAAAGTGTGCCCGTAGCTAAAAGTTGGCAATTTAACTCTAGTTTTGTCAAAATTTAAAAAATAAGGGTCAATGTGGCAGGTAGAGTTTGAATTTATTGATCGTTTTTATCAAAATATTACATCTTTGATTCTGTTTTACCTGCATGCCAATAGTATACAGGTCACCAGAGGGCAGTATGGCACTTTTTACATCATTGTGTTGCACTGGAGCTGCATGAAGATGATCATGTTCCCCAGCATGATTTAAGAATGATCATGTCAGCATATTGTGCATCAATGGAAGAACATCTGAACGTCTGTACAAAGGAGTCAGTTGACCATCACTAAATTACTTATGTTTCCTAGGTTGATAGGTTACCTACACTGTAAAAAAAAAACTGTGAAATTTACGGTAAAAAATATGGTGGCAACCTTTTATGTTTTACGGGACTTAAATTTACGGGCAAAAAAAAAACACAATGTAAAAAAAACCTGTGAAATTTACGTAAAAAAAAATGTGGTTGCTTGGTTGCCAGTATTTTACCGTAAAAAAAAATATGATAGCAACCTTACTTTGGACTTTAAAAAAAAAAAAAAAAAATCAGCAGGACTGCGATGTGTGGTAAAAAAAAAAAACATCAGCTGTGGTTAAGTTTTTATGTGACAATCCATTAAATGTTATCATTCAATTTCACTAAGTATTAAAATCTGCTTTATACCTTTGTAATATACTGATAATCACCATAAAAATACAGGCGATAAAATAGAAAACCACATGATGATTCTAAGTTCACCACCATTAGTTTTCCACAAGCTGAGGCACATATTAATATAAGGTGCCATACACACAAATACAAAACACCATTCATGGTGACACACATGACTCCAAATAATGCCATAAACATTCATTAAACAATATATGATGTAATATAAAGCCCAAATGTATATTACTGATAACAAAAACTAAAAAACATAATTGTTTAAATGAAATAATATCAAATGTGAAGTGTCACGCAGGGAATTCTGGGAATGTCAATTTAGAGAAACAACAAGAATGAGATGAACAGAAACACAAGAACTACAACTGACTTCGGCAACATCCTTAGATGAAATCAACTGAAGATAAAAAAACATTACATCTCTCAAGATCTCATCAGAGGATTAAACAACTCCACAAACAGCATTACCAACTTAACTTATTACTAACCAGATTGACTGTATTTCTGTCATACATCTACAGTTCTGTTTGAGAATTAACAGAGGTTTAGATGTTGATGATTTATTGTTTTATTTGAAGTTAATGATGGTGATCAGTGACTGCTTTAGTTGAGCTCTTGACCCTTGACTTTCTAACATTAGTTTATCTCTGGCTGCTGTAACTCTAAAAGACACGTTTATGGCAAGAACATCAGAGAGAAAATGAATCAGGAGCTGTGATTCTACAGCATGTGATCCATTAGTGTTGTGATAATCTGAAGAATTTTAAAAACATTGTGCACAATAAAGGTTTGAACTACTGTATCTTTCAGACACACACAGACATTAAGATATCAGCATATGAATATTGATGACAGTAACAGTAACAGTTCTTGATGTCTGTGTTGGTCAAAATCGAACAGTAGTTCAAAACCTTTTTTTGTACACCATGTGTTTTTAAAGTTCTTCAGATTATCTGTTTGTCATGCTGGTTCGCATGCGGTATGGGTCACAGAGCTACTCAAAAACGTGAAATATATTAGTATTAAACATTCCTCATACAATTAAAGTTAAGACTTTGTATGA